TGATTGCTGTGGAGGAGGAATGACAGAGCCCAAAGTGGAATTACGGTCATTCCAGTCCAAGATCACCTCTGCTTCACTGAGGAGGAAATTGGGGGATTTGAGGGTGGTGCTGCATGACCCCACATCTGAGCCCACCCAGGTGGCCCCCTCTCCTGCTCCACTATGGCAGAGGTGGTGCGAGAGTGCCCTTAGAAATTGACAGCTCGAACCCCTTCCCTACTATCAGGTGATCGGATCTGCTGACAGAAGTTGGTCCCTTTAAAGAGGTGGGGGGTATGCTCCTGAAAAGGAGTCGAACTCCTGTGGTCCGCCCCTCTCTACCCCCTGCCTGAGATGGACGCTGGACTCCATCCCCTTGCCACATAGCCCGATTGGTCGCTGCATAATTTGTGCCCTTAGGGAATAGACTAGTGTGGCCATAGTCATGTGGCAGCCGGTCACCGTGGCGCAGGCATGGCAAAGGATCGCTCTGTAAGAAATGTAGTCTACACTACTATGTATAACTTGCTGTATGTAGGATTGTACTATAATTCTTGCGTCATTTAATGTGTTATGTTAATAGGTTTAGTACTGAATTCAGTAATAGTACTGAACTCAAAACATAATCACACCTCTTCATTTTTGTGTGTGTCTTTGCTTAAGGAATTGTTCAGTTGCAAGGATATCGACTAAGGCTGCAATATATATGAACTTGGGAGTAAACTCCATCTAACTCACTGGGATATACATCTGAATAAATATTATTATTTATATTGGGCTGCACATAGCCTTGCAGTACTGCAAGTAGAAAAATGCAGGGGATCTCCTGGTATGTCATCAGCACAGTGGTGGACTGCCATTGCACTTTGCAGCCATGCAAGGCTCCACTACGAAACAAAAAACCAGCACGCCAAACAACCAACCAGGCCTACATCCAGAGCCAGTTCCACGTTTTTTGGGAGCCCCAGGCAGAGAGTTCCCAGGGTCCCCTTCCTCTGCCCACCACTACACCTCCCGACTTGTACCATTCTTCCCACCTGCCTGTGTGTCCTCCTGTCTGCTCACAATCCCTCTCACCACCCATGCTCACAACTGCCTGCAGCTCTTTCCCTTGAGCAGTGAATGCATGTGAGAACATGGGTGGTGGAGCACTAGCAACTAAGTGGGTGGGTGGGGTTGGCGTCAGTGGGCCCTGCCAGAAGCCTTGGGCCCTGGCAGCTGCCCTACCTCAGGGTATATTAAAGCCAGTCCTGCCTGATTGCTGTGAATTCTTCTGTACCAATGCAAATCCAGTTATAGCTCAGGCAGAAGGTACAGTCAAAAGAAACACAATCAGTACTGCAGAACCAATAATAAGCAACCTTGGAAAGAAATGAAACTCCCCTTAAAGTAGCTACTAAAGGATTATAGCATTAAGTACCACAGAATGTGTTAATAACTAAAGAGATGAAAATACTTCATCATATTTAGGCTACATTGATGGGGTGGGTGCAATGAATTTTCAGCATAGGAGGTTTGTGGTTACATGCATCTGAAACTATACAGTATTGAGAGGCTGCATGCTTGGCAACTAAGTCACAGCACTTGAATAATTATTTTCTTTTACAGTAGCCAGTAATTAATTAGCATATTTGCTTACTTTTAATGACCTTTGGTAGAATCCATCACACAATGAGAAAGCTCTTGTTTTCATCCTAGTTTTGCACAATGGAGAACTTAGTTTTACACACACTATGCAATACTTCAAGGTCAGTGCTCAATCTTTTATTGCTAGCAAACATTTTAGTTAACTTTTATGGTTTGACATTGAGACTGACATCTACAGTCTGCTTTCTGACCGTCCTACACATGAATCACGGCTTAAGTTTGAAATATGCTCAAAGCCTGAGACCTGTTTGCAGTTCCAAGATGAGCTATGGACATAGAGTTGTACTAG